GGGCCAACGTTGGTTTGTAACTTATTGGCTCTCCATCATGACAACTCATTTGCTCTTCACTGCTGGCTATTTGTCCTCAAAATTGACAAACAAATATATACAATAAGGTTGTACTAGTTTTGTAGTACAGTTTAATGGTAAAAGTCCTTTAATACTATCTATATATGTTATATATGCTTGATTAATAGTTTAATACATATTCTAAATATCTCATAGAATTGCCATCAACAAGTATTGCATTGTAAGTACGTGTAGCTCTACATTAATTAAAAAAACTGAGGAAAAAGAAATCAAAATATAAAATTAAATTATAACATACTATAATTTTATTGCTCAGTGCATGAAGAAAACATTAATAAAGAACTAAAAGTTGGTGCTCACTTCAAGCGATACATGTAGGGTTACATGACTGTATAATCCCTCTCTGCTGTAAATTTATGCACAAGTTAAGTAAATTACAGGTATCAATAAGCACGTCTAACAAATAATCAAAACCCCCCTGTTCTTAAAATAATACTAAAATGAATCCCGTCATTTTGATTACTTACACAAAAATGTTTCTGGCATCTGCATTGTGTTTGTAACCAACAAACAGACACAGAAAAGGGTAGAACTACAGGTATGTCATAATATATAACAGAAAAAAGTTAGGTACTGCCACTTTCCATCTGATCCCTCTCCTAAGTCTCTTCTTCTCTCTCCTGAGTCTCCTCCTCCCCTTCTTTTCTTCTCTGTCTGTTTCTTCCTCCCCCATCCCTGTCCATGGCATACCTTAGCTATTCTTTGATTGTGTTCTCAATGTCTTTTTAGAATCTCCAGTAGCACTAAAATTGTAGTGTTTGGTACTTAATACATTTGTTACTTTTTCAGTAAAGAGTAAACATACGATTAAATTTACAAGTATATCACTATATATATGTTTAAGCTGTCAATTAAGGAATAACCGTCTTTTTTATTTCATGGTGTGATGAAGTGATTAGCTTGCGTGAAGAAGGCATTTATGCATAACATTTTTACGCTTGATCATCATCATCACAACGATTTTGATTCAATGTTGCCCCATATAAAATACAAGTATTGAAAATTTGTCGTTACACTGAACAAATTTTAAATGAAAGAACCCAATTTATGTTTAGTATTGAATTAATTTTGTTTTAACTTTAACAAATTCAACATTTTCAAAATGTTTGATCATGTACTCGACGTTAAGTGTATATAAGTAAATTAAGTGGTAGACTTCTGAAATGCATTCTTCTAGACACAAATTTCAATCTAAATAAGGGGCAAATTATTTATTGTTTTATCTGTATCAAAACACGTTTGTTATTTTATACTTTCATTTATTTTTCTTGCATAGAAACAAAAAAATTAATCACTGATAATTTATTTTGTTTTGATAAATTATAAGAATTTTAAATTTATTTTAGCTAGCTTGAATTTTCAAGTAGGATTGGTTGTAGATTTATTTCTAATTGTAGAGACGATCAGATTTGTTAATATACAGATTTGTAACAATTAAATGTTTATACACATTTGCCCAATTTTGGTCCAATATATCGGGCAAACATTGGGTATAGGAGTAAAATGACACTGGGCCAACGTCATTTGCCAACATCGGCCCAATGTTCTTGTTGACGTTTCCCCAACAATGTCACATTCATTTGGCCAATGTTGGCGCAACGTTGGGCCAATATCTGTAGAAATAACACTCTACATTGGGCCAACGTTGACCCAACATACCGGGCTAACATTGGGCCGATGAGCAAACTTATATTGGGTGAATGTCATTTGCCAACATTGGCCCGATGTAACCAATTACATGGGCCCAACGTTGGCCCAATGTTAGCATGCTACCTGGGGTACAGTGTTGACCCAACAGCACCTGGCCTCTGCACTTCCCCGTGTCAGATTTGTACAACATATCGTTTAAAAACTAAACGTTAATTCAGCTGTGCCGAGGCAAACATATATAAATACTTACAAAGTGGATGCAGATATGCAAGGTATCAGTCTCATTACGCTCGCTCGTGTCAGATTAAAAATGGCGCGGATATTACAAGTAGCCCGGTTGTTGTCTACCCATGATGCTCAGTCAGATTCATGGTATATTGGGCCAACGTAGGGCCGATGCCAATCCCCAAACAAACATTTTCTCTCATGATAATAGTTTTATTATATCATGCCAACAGTTAGCCCAACATTAGCGCACCATTATATATAACCAGCTATCAATATTCCATGTTGGGCCATCGTTGGCCCAATCAAGGTAACCCAACATAGATAATAGAACCATTATGTAAGAGTGGGCTAACGATGTTCTGCTATCTGGGAATTATTACAAATAAATAAGCATAAACACAATTCAAAAAATAGAATTAAACATTCTTTGGTGCTGTGATCACTTAAGTGCAAAGTAAAAATGTTGAATATATATCTAAACAAAAGCAGGCATCCAATGATAAGCATGGACAAAGAAAGTCCTCTTAATTATTTCAGAATGTGCGAACGTTGTCCCAACGTAAAGCCCAGCAGCTAATTATAATATTAACACTATCAATTAGCTGGCAGTATAATAATTGGACCAACGTTGGCCCAATATAAAAATCCCATCTTTAAAACACCTAAACAAAATAACACTTGTGTGTATTACAAACAAAGTGCCAACATTGGGCCAACATAATACTACCAACTTGATGAGACATTTTCTTTAAGGGTGTATTAGAAACATCGGGCCAACGTTGGTCCAACATACTATTTCAACTTGATAAGACACTTTCTTTAAGAGTGTATTACAAACATTGGGCCAACGTTGGGCCAACATAGAACTACCAACTTGATAGGACACGTTCTTTAAGGGTGTATTACAAACAATGGGCCAACGATGGGCCAACATAATACTACCAACTTAATAAAACATTTTATTTAAGGGTGTATTAGAAACATCGGGCCAACGTTGGGGAAACATTCTACTTCCAACTTGATAAGGCAATTTCTTTAAGGATGTATTACAAACATTGTGCCAACGTTGGGCCAACATAATACTACAAACTTGAGAAGACACATTCTTTAAGGGTGTATTATAAACATCGGGCCAACGTTGGGCCAACATACTACTACCAACTTGTAAATACACTTTCTTTTAGGGTGTATTACAAACATTGGTCCAACGTTGGGCCAACACCAGGATCCTTCCTTCCTTGGAAACTAAAGTGAATGGAAGTTGCTTACGTTGGACCAAAGTTGGGCCAACATAGGAATTCCGTCATGGTCGACAAGGTTGACTTGGTAACATTGGTCCAACTTTGGCCCAACGTTGTTCCCCCAACACCAACCATACAACCTTTAACAAATGTTGGCCCAACATAGTCATACTATCTGGGATTACGATTTGTCAGGAAGAAAGACGGACATTTTGTGGCGGCGGACATAGTGTGACGATTTTTTTGAAAAAGAGGCGGACATTTCGTGACGGCGGACATAACGTGACGATTTTTCCGAAAAAGTGGCGGACATTTTGTGACGGCGGACATAACGTGACTGCGGACAAAACGTGATTCAACAACGGCCAAGTCTACGTATTGACTTTCTTCTATTTTAGTACGAGTAGTCGCATTGACATTAAACCCTAACTTAAATGATGTGTTGTCTACGGCATTGGGGTCATAAGATCACTATTATCATTATTGCTATAAATTTCAAATCCCACACAAGTATTTGTACCTGTCGTATCTTGATTGGGCTGCTCTGTGATCCTGTTTGCGTCCGTTTGGGGCACCGATGCTGGTGATGACGTCACTACATCTATAGGAGTATGGCTGTGTGTGGCGACTGTGACAGTGGATTGCGCCGGTGCCGATGATGTGGCTGTGGCTGGCGCTGGCCTGGAATATGGACTATTTGACTTTCGATATTTCCGTAGTGGCATGTTCACGGCGGGGATTCTAAGTCATGGTATGGGATCAGAACACACAACAATGAAGGACAAATGCCCCGCTTCAATGTAAGAAGTGGATATTTTTGCACTTTTAAAGAATGATTTTCAATTCAGTCTAACAACTGCCAAGAAAGACCGTCTTGATTTTTAGGCCAAAAGATCAAAGGACAAAGTCATAAATGCATATATCCTGTTTGTCCTTGAAACTTTCACATCTTTTGAGTGATATCGAAAAACTTTTGAAATGAAATTTTGTACCTTGACTCCCTATTACCCAACCCGTCCCTCGTAAAGTGCCCTCCAGACCCACCATCCCCACTCCTTAGATCCGCACATGCTCATCTTTTTTCAGAAGCCTGGGGCACAGGTTCTCTGTATATGCTGTGAAATTCATTGAGGAAAATATTTTAAAATGTTTAATCTTGTAAATGAAAGTCACTATGGTTTTTTTTGAGAAATAAATTCCGCAGATATTGATTTATAATTAAATGTTTAACTTGCTAAGATATATATGGGCATATTTTTTTAGGTAAACATACAGTAAAACTCGGTTATAGCGAAGTCCTAGGGACCTGTGAATTTAATTCGTTATATCCGAAATTCATTATAACCGTATAACAAATCCTTAAAACTATATAAAGCGAATTCGCAATATGCATGTTTTCCTTTAAGTATTACTACCAAATATGTTAGAAAAGCAGATATTACAAAACATACCTTCGATAAATAAGGTTTTGTGAATTGAATAATATATACAATTCCATGAACAAAAATAAGTCAGTTCAATTTATCAAATTTTGAGATCTTTGAAAGTTCGTTATAAAAGATGTAAATTTCATTATATTTAACTTCAACGGGACCCAAAATATATCCGTAAATTCGTTATATCAGAGTTCGTTATAACCGTAAAATTTTACAAGGATTTGTTAAGAATTTTGCAGGGGACCCAGAAAAACTTCGCTATATCCGTGAATCCGCTATATCCATTTTCGTACTAAACGAGTTTTACTGTATTGAAAAAAATATTATATTGAGTGTCACTCTCAACGAAAAAAAGATAGTTTTGTCACAAATAAATGATCCATTCACATTGCGAGCTGTAAGCATTTCTTAGTAACAGGTGATTGATTTGATAAACGTTTGCAAAAGTATAGTCGAATATTGATTGATGGCCAAATGTATCACCGAGTCCAACTTCAATGCGACTTGACTGCCAGTTGATCCAAAATTTTGTGAATTGTGCACCGCTAAGATGGGATCCTATTGACGTCGAGTAGCAGGTACTTCCATAAACAAATCCGTCTCGAAGACATGATTTTGTATTGGACCATCCTCCCAGTACAATCCAATATCCAGAGCTAGCCGTGGTGTTCCCAGACGCCAGACCAACGTAAGCGTCCTGGGTCGCCTTTATCTGTAATCGAATCGATGTTCTTCTTGTTATAAGAGTGCCTATGTTAATCCAAGGATCACCGTCGAAAGTAATCGTATGAACAGCTGAAAATATCAGAATAATAATAATATGTGTCAATTTTCTCATCATGAAAGTAAAATTTGTTTTTCTTCTTCTTTTTTTTTCTTTTTTCTTTTTTTTTTTGCCTTTCAATATAATTTATCCACAGGGTGTAGTAACATGCTAAATTTGAATTTTGAATATATAACCATTACGTAAATTCAAATTTAGCATGTTAATTGCCCCTGTGCATTTATTATAATTTAATTTTAATGAACGGAAGCCTACAAGAATCAAGAGGAAAAATATTACGCGCCCCTACTTTGTTGTAATTACGTACAAAGTAGGAGCGAGTAATATTTTTCTGTTTGTTAATTTTTTTTACCAGATTTTGATATTACAAAAAAGATTTCGTTTTTAAGAGAAAAGTATCTAGTTTAAACGAGATGATTATCTCGTAATTATGCGAAAAGATTTCATAATCATGACAATTCTTCTTGTTATTACAAGAAAAATATCTCGTAATAACATATCGAGATTATTTTGTCGTAAATATGAGGTATTTAAGCTAACAACAATGACAAAAAATCTTATGCACGAGAAAATTTTAATAATCTTTTTAAATAGGTGATTTCATTTATTCGAATTGGTGATCATGATATCACCTATTTAAATCATACAGGCAATATCACCTAATCGAATAGGAGATTTCACCCAATTATTTTGAATAGGTGTTATCACCTATTCAAATTATCTATGAAATAACAACTGCTTCCAATACGGTAGTCTTGAATCTCATTTACTTTCCATTTCGTTTCATAGCTTAGCATTTTTGGAGACAGTGAATTACAGCTTTGTACTTAGTTTTAAGCACCCCAGTAGAACATGTTTATTTATATTTATTACACTTATCCATCATATATACTGGAGGAAAAATCGTTAAAACGCATTATAACTATTCCATAGAGATGATGCCCCACTTTACATTGTAAAAAGATTAAGGTATGCGACTCTGTTATACATTTATGATTTAAATTTTTTTATGACTTTAAAGGGATCGATAACATAAGGCATTTAAAAAGTCTTGGACTAAAATACAGGGGAAAACTGGACAGTCCGAATTTGCTTGGTTTTAATGGAAATCTAGATGGTCTTGAGGAAGGGAGCATTCATTATTTACTGTTGTAAGAATACAGATAGGTGATATCGCCTATTCGATTGTTGATGTCTCTAATTCAAATTGAATACCGGTGTGTGATATCACCTATACATAAAACACGAATAGGTGATATCACCTATTCGAAAAAGTGATATCTCCTACTCGAAAAAGTAATATCAACTATTCGAATAAGTGATATCGCCTATTCAATTTGAATGAGTGACATTACCTATTCAAATACGTTTTATTACCTATTAAAATATGTGACATTTCCTTTTCGAATTGGTGATATCACTAAATGACAATAAATACCGAAAACAGCGCCTCATACAAACTGCATGTACAAACAACTACTTACTTGTACAGAAATGTTTCCATCCTTCTCTTGGTTCCCACTCAGATGTCAACAGACGAGTCTTGACGTGACAAGCACTGCAAATCAAACACGTCTGGTTTTCTTGATGACAAGAAAATGATTTTTCGTTCATTAACTTTGTCTTTATTGTGCATTCTGTGCATGCAACATTTGAAAGATGGTAAGAAACCGATTTTTGGGTGAATATGTCATTCATCGCGTCCATTACTTTCCATGTCTCTCGCTCAGCTGAAGAATTATTAACATTTATACTCCCATAAAGAAAGAACAAAATAATATGAAATTTCCAAAGTGCCATGAGATTCAATATAACAATGAAGATTCTAACTATGGTAATGTATGTCCCTAAGTCCCCAGTCCTTTGTAGAAATTAATCAATTCTTCTAGCAATTATAGACTGCTCTTATCACCTCTCTCATCACCTGCTAAATACCAAATAAATTCCTATGCATAGTCAACAACCTATGTATTTTTAAAAGACCAGAGTAGGTGTGGTAAAATTTTTTTTTTATTGTTTTCTAATTTAATTTATTTATTTTTGTAAAATGGCGAACGTATAAATTACATATAGATGCATATAGGAGTGATGCATAAAGTAATTCTTATTGGCTAGTAGATTAAATATAGAAGTTAATAGCTTCGATATCTTGAATAATTGATGAAATTATATTTATTCATTTAGGTATGATATTTAGCCCTCTAGAGTGGCGATTTTATAAATGGTCATAATTCTCGGTATGCCTTTAGTTTGGATTTTTATCTATTAAAAAGGGAATCTGTGAAAATGTATACTGCAAACCAATTTATTCTAAAAACCAGATATCCCGAAAGAGATATTGCCTTATTTTATACAGAGTCTTAGCTGTGTAGATATTTCATAAAGACTTTTGCCTTTAGATTTAAGAGAAATATCAAACAGATATATATGTATTTTCTTAGAGGGATGCATCTTCAAGATAGATAGATATATTTTAACGTCTAAGATGTATCATTCATGCTGATATAACCAATTAGATATTTTAAAAAGTAATTCCTGGACTAAATCCGTTGTTTAGCTTACAAGGCGAAGAAAGAATTTTGGCGGGTAATAAAGAAGCGGCTCTGTGGGACCGTAATACAACGAAAAATAGAATGGTGCCATACGTATTCCTTAATGTCTTTCAATATATAGTCCAAGAACTGGTAAAACCAGGTTTCCGAATGTATTATAGACGAAGGTAAATAACAATCAATATGAATTTCAACAATAGCTTATTATCAAGTCTAAACCGAGTTGGATGTAGTTGGTAGAGCGTCGAAGGGCCTCCAAACTTAAGAAGGTATAATGGACATAGATTTTTGTTATAGATAGAGAGAAAACAATTGAATAATTGAATTATGACACTAGCTGGATTCATTGATGGAGAAGTGTGTTTCTTTGCAACTCTAAGACATTGTTTTCGGTTGGAGAAAAGCTGAGCTTTGCATGCATCGTGGAAATTTGTAGATTTTGACTTTTTAGTAGGAACCTGGCACTTTTTAGCGTAAAGTCCATGTAACGACGAAAAGTGACCCCCGTAGAATATTGACCAGGGTCATTTTTCGACCGTAGAAAAGTGACCCAGGGTCAATATTCTACGACAAGTAGGGTCATTTTTCGACCGTAGAAAAAACGTTGAAAAATGAACCCCATAAAAATTTTACCCTCTACTTTTTTTTTTATACAATAAGACCTTATATCTGTGTTTTCTGATATTTTTATGCTTCGTTTACGGCGGTATATAGTTTTGTCGTGTCTGTCCGTCTGTCTAGCTGTCTGTTTGTCCACACAAACTTTAACCTAGCCCATAACTATTGATTTAGTGGAACTATGACTTTCATATTTCACATATGTATTTCTTGTGACAAGACCTTTCTTTCGATACCACCAAATTTGACCTTTTGACCTTGACCTTGGAGTTTGACCCACTTTCACACAAAAATTCCAAACTTTTACTTTGGTCGTATCTTTTGAACAGTAGAAACCAGGACATTTATACTTCATATAAATATTTTTTGTGGAAAGACATTTCATTTGATACCAACGACCTTGACCTTGGAGATTTCCGAACTTACGAAAAAACTTTAACCCTGGCCATAAATTTTGAACGGTAAGGGCTAGGGTTTTCATACTTCAAATATGTAATCTTTGTGAGAAGACCTTTCTTGGATATCAACAACTTTGACCCTTTGACCTTGACCTTGGAGTTTGACCTGCATTTTACAAACTTTAACCTTGGCCATAACTTTTGAACAGTAGGGGCTAGAGCTTTCATGTTTCACATATGTAATTCATGTGACAAGACCTTTCAGTGGATATCAAGAACCTTGACCCTTTGACCTTGGAGTTTGACCTACTTTTTACAAACTTTAACCTTGGTCATAACATTTGAATGGTAAGGGCCAGCGCTTTCATACCTCCCATGTGTAATCTTTGAGACAAGGCCTTTCTTTAGAAACCAACAACCTTGACCCTTTGACCTTGACCCCAGAGTTTGTGCTACCTTAAAAAATGTTAACCTTGGTCATAACCCTTGAACAGGTGGTGCTAGGGTTTTATATTAAACATTTGTATTTCTCGTGAAAAGGCCTTACTTTAGGTACCAACATATTTGATCTGCATTTGAGAAAGCTTAACCTTCGCTATGTTACCATACGGGGCATCAGTGTTTCACAAACACATCTTGTTTTTATAAGAACACATCAGCAGAGCTAAAATTTCGTTAGAGACTTCTTGTATGTATCATGTTTCAGTAGATTTTATGAATTTATGTATATTTCAAACGTAAACTATTTAAAGCGAAGTAAATTCTGACTTAGAAAATGAGAAATGAAATATTAAAACTGCAACTCTTCTAATCATAGATTCAAATTAATGGTCCAAAATCTATTTACCAAAACGACTAACAACCATGACAAAATCGACATATCTCTTCCCAAAAGAAAAGGCAAAAGGTTACATTTCAACAATCAATGAAAAAATTCGAGAGGACTGAATGCCTCATCACCATAATTATTGATAGCCGCTTTTACTAAAAGTGGGGGATATTAATTATACCCCCCGCAAACGAAGTTTGGGGGGGGGGTATATAGGAATCACCTTGTCCGTCTGTCCATCTGTCTGTCTGTCCGACTGTCCGTCTGTCCGTCTGTCTGTGCAAACGTGTCCGGTCCATATCTTTCTTACGGAGGGACATTAGAATCTACTACTCCACACAAAGATTGCCCATGACCTAAGGGTGTGTCATGACCTTAACCCAAGGTCATTTGGGGAAGTTCAAGGTCACTGAAAGAAAAAGTTCATAATTCGTGTCCGGTCTACATCTTTTTTATGGATAAACTTGGTAGGTTCTCATTTCATGCCAAGATTGCCCATGTCCAAAGGGTGTCAGGACCTGACCCAAGGTCATTTGGGGAAGTTCAAGGTCACTGAAGAAAAAGTTCATAATTCGTGTCCGGTCTACATCTTTTTTATGGATAAACTTGGTAGGTTCTCATTTCATGCAAAGATTGCCCATGACCCAGGGGTGTGTCATGACCTTGACCCAAGGTCATTTTGGAAAGTTCAAGGTCACTGGAAGAAAAAGTTCATAATTCGTGTCCGGTCCATATCTTTCTTATGGATAAACTTGGTAGGTTCTCATTTCACCCAAAGATTACCCATGACCTAAGGGTGTGTTATGACCTTGACTCAAGGTCATTTGGAGAAGTTCAAGGTCACTGGAAGTAAAATTCATAATTTGTTTCCGGTCCATATCTTTCTTATGGATAAACTTGGTAGGTTCTCATTCTACACAAAGATTGCCCATGACCCAAGGGTTTGTCATGACCTTGATTCAAGGTCATTTGGGGAAGTTCAAGGTCACTGGAAGAAAAAGTTCATAATTCATGTCCGGTCCATATCTTTCTTATTGATAAACTTGGTAGGTTCCCATTTCACACAAAGATTGCCCATGACCCAAGGGTGTGTCATGACCTTGACCCAAGGTCATTTGGGGAACTTCAAGGTCACTGGAAGAAAAATTTCATAATTCATGTGTGATGCATATCTTTATTATGGAAAAACTTACTTCTGAAAAACCCAGCGGGGGTATTTTGTCCCGTTTGGACAGTTCTAGTTTCGGTCTGTCTGTCTGTCCGTCTTTCTGTAACACTTTTGTTTCCGCAGGATATCTCGAGAAGCATTTGAGCTTTTACAATGAAATTTTAGGGTTAGGGTCAGGGTATGGTTTAGAAAGACCGCATTGATTTTGAAGTCAACAGGTCAAAGGTCAAGATCATAAATGCATACATTCCGTTTGTGCTTGAAACTTTCACTTCTTCTGAGTGATATAGAGAAGCTTTTGCAATAAAATTTTCTACCTTAACTCCCTATTACTTAACCCGTCCCTCTTAAAGTGCCCTCTAGACCATCATGATCATCCACACTACCTCTAGATCCGCGCATGCTCATCTTTTTTTCAAAAGCCTGGGGCACAGGTTCTCTGTGTATGCTGTGAAATTCTATGGGGAAAATTGTTTAAAATATTAAAATCTTGTAAACGAAAGGTACTATGGATTTTGTTTTTCAAATTTGAGAAATAAATTCCTCTGATATTGATTTATAATTACATGTATAACTTGCTAAATTTAGATATATACATATATATAGACAAATGCTTTTAGGTACTAAACATGTTGAAAAAAATAATATTATAATGATTGTCACTTTCAACGAAAAAAAGATGGTTTTGTCACAAATAAATGATCCATTCACATTGCGAACTGAATGCATTTCTTAGTAACAAGTGATTGATTTGATATACGTTTGGAAAAGTATAGTCCATTATTGTTTGATGACCAAATGTTTCACCGATTCCAACTTCAATGCGACTTGATTGCCACTTGATCCAAAATTTTGTGAATTGTGCACCGCTAAGATGGGACCCTAATGACGTCGAGTAACACGTACTTCCGGTAAGAAATCCGTCTCGAAGACAGGATTGTGTATTGTACCAACCTCCCAGTACAATCCAATATCCAGAACTAGCCGTGGTGCTCCCAGACGCCAGTCCAATGTAAACGTCCCGAGCCGCCTTTATCTGTAATCGAATCGATGCTCTTCTCGCTAAAAGAGTGCCAATGTCAATCCATGGATCACCGTTAAAAGTTATCATATGAACAGCTGAAATATTAAATTATTGAAATAAATATAATATGTCAATTTTCTCATCATGGAAGTTTTTGTTTGCCTTTTTAACTTAAATTTAAATATAGTTTACCATAATATTATTTTAAAGCCAACAAATGTTCTAGTATGTTTTCGTACTTGTTCAATGAACTGTTCTACTTTTTTCTCATTTTTGTACAACTAGTATTTTTGATTGAAAATATTCTTACAAAATATGATTATTATTTTTGTAAAACATTCATTCAATCGTGTAAAATAATTCTATATAGATCAAGCACAATAAGGATTTGATGTTGGGGACTCTTAGACGACGATTGATCGTACATAAAATTCTCAAAAACATTAATAATCCATGAATTTACACGTAATTAAGGAAAAGGTCGACAAAAATGTTCAAAATGTAATAATAATTTCAACAACTGTTTACCTGTACAGAAGTGTTTCCATCCTTCACTTGGTTCCCACTCAGATGTCAACAGACGAGTCTTGACGTGACAAGTACTGTAAATCAAACACGTCTGGTTTTCTTGATGACAAGAAAATGATTTTTCGTTCATCAGCTTTGTCCTTAAAGCGCACTCAGTGCATGCAACATTTGAAAGGTGGTAAGAAACCGATTTTTGGGTGAATATGTCATTCATGGCGTCCATTAATTTCCACATCTCTTGTTCCACTGAAGAATTAACATTTACACTCCCAGAAAGAAAGAACAAAACTATCTGAAATTTCAGAAGTGCCATGAGATTTAAAATAAAAACGAAGAATCTGATGATCTAGAATTTATGTCTCTAAATAGCCAGTCGTTTGAAGAATTTAATCAATGCTTTTGGCATTATAGATCATCATTTACTGATCTCTCATCAGCTGCTAAACACAGCATCAACTCATGTATTCAAAGGCCGTATTAGATGAGGTAAAATTGGTCTATTTTTCAATTTTATTTAAAAATTTATTTTTGTAAAATTATAAAGGTATCATATAGGTGTATATTCACAATTAATTCTTATAGGTCGGTATGTCGAATTCAGCAGTTAACTGCTTACACATCATGAATACTTATTGGAAGTATTTAGTCATTTAGGTATGAAATTTAGACATTCAAAATACGACCGTCTAGAGTGGCGATTCCATGGATTTTCGTAATAATACATGCATAACAGGATAGGAGTATAGTATCTATATGCATGCGTAGTGAGATCTTACAGTTAGTGTGTTTTCCGATAGCTAGTTTTCTAGCCCTAGATTAAATGTAGCGCAAGCTAATTTATTGTGAAACCCATAACTTTAATGTAAATAGATAACAAAGTTTTAGAGATATTTCTCTATAAAGTTTTTTTTTTTATTATTAAAGTTTCAAAGAAACATTTAAAAAGATTCGTGGGAGGTGAGATTTATGATTTTAAAAATCTTAAAGGTAATAAATGTTATAAATAAAACATATGGAGATAAAGAACAGTATTCAAGATCAAAAGTCCATAAACAATACAAAATAGGAGCAGAGCAAACACGGACCTCCAAAAGGTAGGATCAGGTGCCATGGAGTAGTGAGCACTCCCTGACGACTGAACACACCCGCTGTGTGCTCCTTGTCATGATCGGGAAATAACGGAAAAATCTGTCGTCAGTTCACTCTATAAATAATGGATTAACAATCAGTATGAAAAACGTCAGTCAGCATTCGACTCAATGATAAACTGTTTTTGCTGACAAGGTCATTGTATCGACCATAGAACTTCGAAATGATGACTCTAAACTTGTTTCATCAACTTGTTGGTCAATAATTTACATCGTTTTAGAAATTTCTCGAACGTAGAGCATGCTTTTGCGTATCGAATCAATTGAGATATATAAACTCCGTCTGCAGATGATGAAGGTATATTGCTGCATTAGTAAGGGAAGTTGACGATAGAAAAGTTGATGCCATCACGTCATCATAGAGCTTGTTGTTGGAATACCATTAACGTCTTTTACAGTAAAATATCCAAATATGAAATAGATGTGTTAAACTCTATGGTATCTTTTATCTCAAGCTTACAAGAATATATCGTATCGACATAGGAATGGAAATTACCATTGTTAATCGACAATACGTCTTCGATACCGGGTATATCTAAATGTCGAGTTGAAGGCCACAACAAGTTTTTTCTTCTTTTCACGCATAAGATTTTGCACAAATTGTCGAGAATCTTTATTATATGTAAAGTAAATTCTTTTATTTGTTCTTTAAACAATCACTGTTATTCCTTGCTTCATATTGTATTTTATCTTCAAAATGCATTGTTATAACTATTGTGTCTTCATTAAAAATGGAGCTAGGGTGTCATATTTTGACTCTACAATTGTGTATTTTTATTCATTGTTAACTAGAAATGTTTTAAAAACAAATATTATAAGCCCTGTCTTCGGGCAATGTGATCATCCTCTAAGTTAAAATGTATGTAGTGATAGTGAAAAAAAAATGATTATCTATTGGTCTGGGGCAACCATAATCTTGACTGAGATTCAGATTATCTCATCGTCAGAAACCCACGGATGATTTCGTCTTTATATGGTGAATAAAGATGAGATCACCCGTGGGTATCCGACGATGGATTATCTGGAAATTTGGACTTATGCTTTCACTAGTAAAAACGGCTAACATCAGTCCGAATTTTTAGCTGAGCAAAACCTCAGTTGAGATTAAGACAAATATACAATGTAATACCTACCGGTATTTTTATTTCTGTCAGATCTCAGTATCATTATGGGGTACAAGTAATTTACTTTAATCAGACCCTTAAAGCCTTTGACATTGTAATCTCAAATCTAAAATAATACTGTACGCATCGAGGGGACAATATGCCAAGTTTGATGTATGTCTAACAAAGTATTTTCAAGATATTGAGTGAACAAAATCTTGTCATTTTCAGAATTATAGTGTGTGGCGGTCAGTTGGTTTCATATGCAGTTGGCCAGATAGCTCAGTTGGTAGAGTACCAGATCCAGGTTCAATTTCCAGTCTGGTCCAATGCATTTTTCTCCTCTTCTGTTACATTTGGTGCCATGCCCAGGAAGTGACAGGTGAAAGACCTTCCAAAGAACAGCATTCGATGGTAACAACCATTAAGGAAGGAAGGATGAATGTGGTGATTAGATGGGTTTGAAATCATGTGGCCAGATAACTCAGTTGGTTAGAGTACCTGGGGCCAAAGTTCAATCCCTCTCTGGTCTGGTGCATTTTCTCTCTCCCATTAAAAATGACATTAAAAGTTTAGAACCCTGACCATCGACTTTGTGAAATGAAAAATCTACTTCTAGAGGTAAACCATCATATTTGGTGATGTTTGTCAAGCAAAGAGTTCTTAAGATATTGAGTGATTACAAATGTGTGACATCTGAACTTTTTACCTCAAAATCAATAGGCGTCATAGACAAATATTTTCAACTGGCAGCTATATGCTTCCATAATAATAAATAATATAATAAAAAGCATTGAAAAATTCCCTCATGGGAAATAAAAACATAACGAAGTCACAAAAATCCAGTTTTACCTTAAAATTATTTTTTTATTTCATTTCATTGCAAAGTACTAGTATCTTAACAAACAGTTTGCAATTTCATTTGTAGCATTATTTCATGCATACTTGTATCTCATTTCAAAATTACTTTTAGATTCAGTTTTTATTGGTTAAAATTAACCAGCTATGATTTTTAACCATTCACAGATATAGATATTTAGGAGAAATTGAATGAATGCAACGTTTTTTTTTTATGAACATTTCAGCTGTCGGGTCATTTGTCCCCCATGCAATCACTATACCTTTCAATTCTCACGGGTTTTTTATTCATGTATAATGTTTAGAGCTATCTTCGATTATCACCCTCATACTGACTTCATAGCTAATTAGAATTCGTTCATTACCCAACTCAATATAAAGAACGAAGCCAAATCAAGGTTCTAGTGAGAGAGAAGATATGGATAAATGGTTTTAAATGTTCTCAGAGAGGCAAACTACGGCAAACATTAAAGATTGATTTAAAACATTTTATGGGGACATCTGAAACGTAACTAATTGAGTTGTGTTTATTTTACAGCATTCAATCAATTAAAACAGTTATTTGCAAACCCAAACAATTCTGATTTTTTGTAGTTTTGAAAGTACGTTTTTTTTAGAGATAGTGTCAGTTTACCATTTTAATCGTTGTGAAGCAGAATTGATCTGATTGTATTATCCACGAGAGTGGCAAAATTAACAACTTGCATTAGAATTACCACAGAAAATTAAACCAGATTACTTGTTTTTAGCACACTTTAGCTTACAGGTCAAGTAAACTTTTCCAATTTGATTTTATAAGATTTTTTTTTTTTTTTTTTTTTTTTTTTTTTTTACATCAAATATAATCGTTTTGGTTTTTCTTCTACATATATTAGGTTAACTTCAATCAAAATTGGCTCATAGCTCTTAAGATGACTTTATCAAAGCTGTCTGAGAGTGTACATTTCTTCAAATCAAAACATCATGGGAGCAAGATTTTGGTATAGCAGAGGCACAAAATGGAATCGGCTGATATACACCGTATTAAGGAAATGTTTTAAGCAATTAATGCACTGAATATTCCTTATTAACTATCCATCTTCAATGATTTGACTGTATGGATCCGTAAGTCAATAAAGCAGGACCCGATGGTCTTCTTTAATGCTTCGATATCCATGTATTGTTGATATTTCTTAGCGATATAAAAGGATTCAGAATTTTATTTGATTCATTGAGGTAAAGAGGATAAACACATTAAATATTACAATACAAAATAAAATAAATCTTTATTTTATTATTATTCTCAATCAAAGACCCAAGGATGTGCCCGAATAGAAAATGTACGGCCCAAATTACCGACGCCAGTCACAGAAGGTAAAATCAATTAGGACTAAAGTGCTTTGGAGTGCAAAATGAAAATCAATTTTTGTTGGGAAGTCCGATTTTCAGATTTTTGAAACCAGCTAATACTCACGTAAATGAGTCAGAATTCACTAAGTGAAATTATATTTTTAGGAAATGTGAATGAAAACACCAGCTTTGATTCACAGGCATTACATTTTTTTCTTATCTAAAAAATGATAATAACCCATAACTACAGATTAATGCATGCGCCCTATATATTAATCAGGTTGAAGGAACAATCCATAGTCTAAAAACAACACTCTAAAAAAAGTTTTACTATTAATTTTCAAAATAAGTATTTGCATTTAGAAAAACAATAAACATTAAGTAATACAATTAGTCAGAATAGTAAGTAAAAGGCAATCCTGCTTAGTAACTGCAATAATAAATAGTAAATACCAATAAAACAATTACTTGTCAATTCTTTTACTATTTATTATTATAATTACTGAAATAAGTATTAAAATAAGTATTAAGACTACTTATTTATATACTCAATTTATTACTCATTTCTAGTGATCAAATTTATATTTTTATTTTATAATTTTCTTAAATTAAGTAATTGGAATACTTATACAAGTTTGAACCATTTACTTATTTCATATACATGTGGGATTGAAACAAGTAATTCATTTACTCATAAAAGTATAAACCATTTACTTATTTCATGTACATGGGATTGAAACAAGTAACTACTCATGTTTAGTAAATCCTCATTACTTCATTAAGAGATAATATGCTTTCTTTTTACTAGGTTTTAAGAATTATTACTAAGTAATTGTAAATCTGAAATTAATAATTTAATTATTAAAATCAAGAATATTATTACTTCAAGAGAATGCCAAGTAAATGAAATATTTATCATATTTATTAAAATCGACATTATTTCTTTGTAACTGTTTTATTATATTAAGCAGTAAAACATTTAATTCCAATATCAAACGCCTTCTAAATAGAATAAGTTGTATATTTTTAAAGACCATTTTAAAAATGGTTGATAGTTTCAAGTACTTAATACAACATTTTAGTTAGTATAACTTTTTTTTGACATGAAGAAATATTTAGAAGAAAGATAACTCCTCCTCACAGACAATTAATATGGAAGCCATTAAGAATTCAGTCCTGATAGTAATTAGACTACCATTTTTAAGTAATTATTTGTATTGCAACTGCTCTGAATTCTCCTTGATTCAGTAAATAAATTATTGTTTTAAGTAAATCAATTGAATACAATTTAAACAAGATGTGCTTGTGAAATACTGACGCCCCCCCCCCCCATATGGCAACACAGCAAAGGTTTAACTTTTCTTATATACAAATTCAATATATTGGTATTTCTTGATCTCTCAAAGGTCAAGGTCAAATGGTCAATGTTATTGGTATCTAATGAAAGGTCCTGCCACAAAAGATTCATATCTGAAATAAGAAAGCACTATCCCCAACCCTTCAGAATTTATGGTGAAGTTTAATAACTTTGAAATGTAGATCAAACTCCAAGGTCAAGGACAAAGGGTAAGATTTGATGGTACCCAAAAAAAGGTCTTGTCACAAGGATGAAATATGTAAAGTATGAATGCACTAAATCCAACCTTTGTAAAGTTAAAGTCAAGGTCTGCTTTTTAAAAGTGGGTCAAACTCCAAGGTTAATGTCAAAGGATCAAAGTTCTTGGTATCTAATGAATGGTCTTCTCACAGGAATTATATCTATATAAGTATGAAAGCCCTTTCCCTTATCGTTCAAAAGTAATGGCCAAGGTTAACAGTTTTTTTCACAAGGATTGAAATCTCCAAGGTCATGGGCAAATGGCCTAAACGCCAAAGCCCCAAGAAACTCCCTGCATAAGATCATCAACTGCATTATAATTGCTCAATTTATTTTATGCATAAAATCATAAAGCTGCACATACTTAACATTACGGCAGGAAATATATGTATAAAGCACTTGACGTTTTCGGGACATGCATCCTAACATTCCTTACGACAAAAGAATAAAGTTGATGCATATACCGGTAAACACGGTATATATTAATTTATTTATAATTACAAACTTATTTGCATCATTTATCATTGCAGAATTCCTCAGAAACTTAAAATTAGACAATGCTTAAGTAATTGACATGTATAAGTAACTCTTTTAATTATATTTAGTAAGTGTTAATTACTTATCTAAACAAAATTCAGTAAAGAGGAAATACAAAGTAAATCAATTCTTTAAAATACAAAAATCAAGTAAAACATTTCAATCTAGTAATTTACATATGTTTCAGTAATTGATTTAAATTTTTAAGTAAAGGCTTAGTAATTATCTATTACTTATCTTTGTTATTTCAAGTAAAAAATGACTACTAAGTAAAACTTTTTTAAGAGTGAAAGGCTTTTACAATTGGTATAAAACAAGTCAGCCAAAATACGCCCCAATGATAAGTTATATGATTTCCTAACGACCATAGAATGTATGAAATGCTGACATTAATTCGAGGCTGTTCAAATCCCTGTAACATAAACTTATTAGTGAGTAGCTTGCCTTGCTTTAAAAATTGATCACACTCAGAGCAAGCTCTTGAATAGCAAACAAGTTGGGAGACATAAACACCATAAGCTAAATTGAAACAGATGTGGCAGACTCTGTGGTGTCTTTTATTTCAAGTTTACCGGGATATATCGAGTAGAGATAAAAGTAACTATTGTTAATTGATAAAATATCGTCGATGCACCTGAATGTCGAATCGAATCCATATCTAGTGTTTTCCTCGTGTTGTGAAGAAGCTTGTGAATATAGATTCAGTTTCAAAGAAATATAAATACAAGTCAGCTAATAAAGGAGCACAATTGATGCCAATCGAAATTCAAAAACTTGTCGGAAAATTTGGACTCTGGAGACTACATGAATGAGGAACTTCAGTTCTTTGATTACAATCAGATATAGTGGTTTTGAACGAAGTGATTTTCGCTGATGACCAATCAAAAAATTTCTGAGTTCCGTTTAAAAGAGGCAGATGTCTATGTAGCTAAAACTTTTTTTTTTAATGAAATAACGCGGTATTATTACAAGTTTAAAATGTTTTTAAAAAGTTTTGAGTTTTGATATCATAGATTTTTGAAAAAAAAACCTTTTTGGTGTTTTTGAGGTGTTTCTAAAGTTTATGGGATTCCTGCATGTGTACGTATGTTTAATTCTGAAAAAAAAAATCAAAAAGTTCCCTTCGTCGAAAAAAGTAATCTTTCTTGTAGACAAAGATATTTCTTTTTTTACTCTATGAGAAAGTTTTCTTTCTAGAAAATATATGTTTTTGGTATTTAAGAAATATGTCTTTTATTTGTGTACGAGATTTGAAGGAGACATACATGTACTAACAATGATATCTCTTTCTTAGCATCTTTTCAGTAAAATGGTATTTCTAAAACATTTAAATATCTCTCATGTTTCTATAGTTATTGTAAGAACGGGTCTCTCTGAATGTTTGTGATATTTTAACCCTTGGATACAATTTTTATTGTCAGATTTCGGGGGAAATTCACCCATCTGGCTCTTTTATGAAAATATTGATTTAGTAGTTCTTTTGCCTTTTCTTCCTGTATATTCAAATAAAAATGAAGATTTCAATTATGACTTTTCAATTCAGTTAATTATTTTTAATATGAAAACCGTCTATCCTTCTGCATTCAATAATCCAGAAGTGAAAAAAGAATTAGATAGATAACATTAGCAGGTAGCAACATTGTTTTTGTTTGTAAGGCTCATTATATAAATTGTTCTTTTAAAAGACCTTGGATTTAATTCTACAAGTGGTAATCCAACTTATACTTATAATTCCCTTTCTAGAAAGAATTTAAAAATTCTTCAAAATCATGTCAGTTTTGAATGTATTTAAAATCCCAAAGAACCAAAATGAATTTGAACTATTATAAATATTGGATTATATTGGAAACTTCATACGAATCCTTACAAACAAAGATACATAGCGGTTTCCAGTAAATGTTCAACCAAGCTTCTTTCTTTACTCCTCACTAAGATATTAACAGTAGTGAAGGAGAAACCTCAAGAGTACTGTGCAACAATATATTGAAGAAGTTGTGAAAATCAGATGTATATACTTAAAATTTCCAAGGAACTTTTGGAGAATTTGAAATCTCAAGATTTTACCAAAATCAACAGCTTAAATACTTACGATTTTTCAACTTTATACACAACCATTTCCCATGATAAATTAAAGTCCAAGCTTTTTTATATGATTGAAAGCTTCTTTTTCAATAAAAATGGAATTTGTAAATTTACTTACCTTGGCATTGGTCATTTGCAAAATTATTTTGTTAAAAAAACATTCTGATTGTACACTCAAGTACTCTGAAGTTAAAATCAAAAAGATGCTTGAGTGTCTGACTAACAATATCTATGTGGTTTTTATTTTTCCATGTTCTATTGGAATTCCCATGGGTACAAATTGCTCCCTGTTATTAGCAGACCTATTTTTGTATTCATGTGAAGGAGAATTTGTGCAAAATTTTATGCATGAAAAGAAGAAAACACTTGCTGTGGTCTTCAACTCAACATTTAGATAAATTTATTAGACTGTGAACTTATTTTAGCTATCATTTTTCCCTGTAATGTACAGAGTTAGACTCTCATTCATCTGCAAAATCATTACAAACTACAGATATTACAGAAATGCATTAAATCACAATTCACATAGTGGCAAAGTTGTACTCAGTTTATAAGGTTGTAAAGTCATATCATATAAAAACTTGAATACGTTGATTGATGCAGATATAAAATCTGACAGCCGTACTGGAGCTATTATAATAATGAAGATATTGTTGTCAGGAATACTCAATCTCTTGTGATCTGAAATATATTAATTATCAAATTTATCAAAATGAATTTAAGAAATGTTGTAAATTCAATCATAAACATGTACCATAAAACTTGTCATATCAAGATACCACTGGTCCCTAGAAAGTGACTGGAAAGGCCACATTCCAGATAGAAAAACAACTACATTAACAACTGATTTAATGAAAAGGACTCATCTTCAGTATTTGATCATACTATGGTTGATTTTTGGTTCACCCCTATCACACTTGTTTGACAAAGTAGAAGTGGACTTACTTGCAGTTAGGACAAGTAAAGAACACAGTCTGGCCTTCATCAGCTGATCGAGTCTGTCTAGTCGTGTAAATCATCTTCTCATTTCCACATTTGCTACACTTCCTATCAGCCTATAAATTAAAATGGTTTGAGAAATTCCTTTTATGTTGATAAAAATTCATTAAAGAGGAATGGAATTTTGAGAGCATTCTACATTTACTTTACACACATAATCTAGAACTTGAGTTGACAATTACATGAACTGATCAACAACTTCTCCATCTTACATGTAACAATGTCAATCAAAAAACAGATGTGTACAAAAAATACTGTGTCTGTTGTACAAATAGAAATAAAAGGCTACAACTGACTATTAATATTGCTATGAAATGTTGTGCTAAAATAAAATTTACTTACATAGCTTAGAGATACAGGTTAGAAGTACTACATATACTGACATGTTATATTCCAGTTTATATACTTTGTTAGTTTTTTGTAGGTTCATAATTTTCTGTTTCTATCACCGATGTTGCTAAGTTCTATCTTTCCCTAACCCTGCATCCCCTGCCCCTAGCCTCTTTTATTGTCCTTTTTTTTTGGGGGGGGGGTGTTATAACTAGAAATGTACTCACCAGAGGTCCTGAGGACACTTCTCCCTCCTCAGTTTCAGTCTGCAGAGTCTCGGGTCGGTTAAACACTATGCTGGATGTAATTTTTACACCATCAAATTCTGCAAGAATATATGACTGGTTTGAAGTACAAGCTATAATTTGTTCTGGGAGATGGGAAATCCATTAGTCGATAAAAAGACAATAAACTATCTTTTTATCTTTCAATGTAGTAGACCATCATGGCAAAGCAAATTGAAGTAAAATCAAATCAAATGGATTTCTCACTCACACAAACACAAATGCATTACTATATCCTCTTTAACTTTGCTGAGAGGGAGTGATAGACTAACATTTTTATATCATTCAGTTGCATTTGATCTGATTAAGAGGTCATTTAAATTTAGATGCTGCTCTGCAAGATTGCATGAACTCAATTCTCTTTAGGAAAGTCTAATTATGCTGAAAAGAATTATGTGCTTTGACTTATTGTCAATATAAGACTTTTTTTCTGAACAAAGCAATGACACACCTCGAACATTGATCTTGAAGCCACAGAGCTTACACGTCACAAAGTCCTCCATACCAGGAAGAGGAAGAATGGTACCACATGTTGGACAAAACTCCAAGTCAGTCACAAAGTTACTGCTTTTCTTTGACATTCTCTGTGTGTTTTTAAAAAAGCATAGTTATTTATCATATCAATGACAAAGTAAGATTTTACCTATCTAGATTGTTGGGGGGTGGGTGGGGGGGGAGTATAAACTGTATTTGAAGCAGACTCTTGCTGGAATTCTGTTGGACTTGCTGGAATTCTTCAGCATCAGAGGTTTGAATGAATAGGAAATTACTATGAAAAATTAACGATTTTATATTTTGTTGGATAAAAACCTTTCAAAGGTAAATAACAAAAGTTTTATAGTAAAAGAGACTTAAAAGGATGTTCTGTATTGATTGAAACAAGCAGTCAATGTTGGGGCAAGGTTTCGGTTATCACATTGTGTGACACTGATCTGAGACTTGTAGAGACACCAGGCCAAATTTTTTTAGACTCCAGAACGAATCTCTGTGAGATTATGACCATCCATTCCTCTCTCAGATACCTGTGCTAGCATGGCTAAGGGCTGTTGTCAAGAATTTTTGACAAAAAATCTGAAGACATAATACTCCAAGGATTATTTCAAATCAAGTTAATAATAATAGTTCTATGTATCAAGATAATAAACATCTAAGCATATTCATTGAATTACAAAGAATGTGTGATAATCCGATTAGAAACATTTACTTTTTGATTATCAATGGGCCTAGTTAGAATAATCTGTGTCTATGGGGACAGCCAATAACATCTGATCCTAGCCATGCATGTGCAGAAGTGTTTCATTTACAGGACATGAACACATTACTCATATATACCTCCTGTCAACAAAGAGGTGGTCTCAGTGTGGAAACTTCAACATTGACTATATTTTACACATGAGATTTATTTTGCTACAAAAATATTCCTTTTCCACAGCTTGCAGAATTTTTGGCAGAAGAATGAATCATTGGGGCTTGTGTAGAGAAAATAAATTAATTAGAACCTTGATTTTTTTTTCTTCGAGGCACTTTTTTTACTTATTATTTTTTTTCTCTTCACCTGTACACAACAACTTGAACAAGCCCCTGTGACTGAGTCAGTGATCAGGGGTGTGACTGAAATCCATCATTTTTAAAAATGATGATTTCTAGTCATTAAATTGATTTATAATAATGATGAAAATTCATCTTTTTTCAGAAAAATGATGAAAAACAGTCATTTCTATTTTGAAATTTATTTTAGAAATAGATTTACCTCTGATATTAAAAATGACTGTATTTCATCATATTTTATCAAATTGTTAGGTCTGGGCGCACTTAATTATCTCGTTAATTTTACGGGGCGCACTAAATTATTTTGGTTTCAATTACTTGTCAAGATGTTTCTCTACACAAGCGTCTATGGCAGGATAGTGTACTATATCTAATTACTGTAGTAAACGGGTTGGGAAAATTGACTTGGGAATGGAAATATGATGAAAAGACCTCATATTTACAAAAATCAGAAGATCGTGTACATTATATGCTTAGAAGAAATGACCATTATCCATCATTTTTAAAAATGATGGATTTCAGTCACACACCTGACTGGTGGTGATTGGTAAAATACTTTCTTCTTAAATTTCGGTTGGTTCTAGGTATAGCAGCGAGCTGGCACAGAATGGGCAAAGAACATTCAAATCAATAATTCTAAGGTTTACCTGTTACCTGTTTACCTGTTAAATAAAATGTATCTTAACATCATGTGGAAGATGCATGGAGGCTGCCATATTGGATTGCTTCAAAACACAGAATAATTATCTACTTTTTGACAAAACGAAAATTATGTTTGCTTTATGATTTCATAAAGAATTTAATTTTTATGCAATTATTAGCATTTTAGACTGATGTTTATATAAATAACATATCCTAGTAATTATTTTAGGGCATTTTTGTAATATTTAAAGGGTAAAGAAACAGATATCAGTTTGCCAAATCTAACTCGCATAATTGATTTTTCAATAAAAACAAAATGAAGCTCATCACACACAACTTTCTGACATCAAACATCATCAAAGGGGTTAAGAACGGCTACCCTCTGGGTATTTTGGTATGTATCATGAAAAAATCACATACATTTTATTATACATACAATATTGAAATGTTGTAAATGTACATATTCATTCATGTTACATCACTTTCATGTCTCAATATTTTTTGTATGGTGTACATGTGCCTAGGTGTCTTCCCAGTTCCCACTTAGCCACTTCAGGCACTGGATGTATTTATAAAAGGGATAATGATTTTTACATGTATTATTTACCACTTTAATAAACTATAAGATTTATTTAAATACATGTTAGCAAATTATAATATTATCTGTCGACACATACTGAAACACCTAGAAAAAAACAAAATTTTAACAACGCTAAACCATGGCTTCAGATCTGGGTTCTCCTGTGAGACACAACCACAGGCGCCTGACGTTACTTATTTTTCTTTTAATAAAAAAAATATACCCTTACCTTATTATAAGGTATACGTAAGGGTATATTTTTTTTATAAAAGAAAAATAAGTAACGTAACACAACTTCTAACAACAATGAACAATCTGCTGATAAATTATGACAAAGGAAAACAAACAGATTTGGCAATTTTGGACTTCTCTAAAGCTTTTGACACTGTTCCACATCAGAAACTACTCCATAAACTCAGTCAGTATGGCATAAGAGGAAGTACACTATCATGGCTAACATCATTCCTTACAAGAAGGACAATGTGAACAGTAGTAGAGGGCGAAAAATCAGAGGCCGTGCCAGTGGAGTCCGGGGTGCCGCAAGGCACAGTCCTCGGGCCCCTGCTCTTTTTATGCCACATTAATGACCTCCCAGACTCCGTAACATCACAAGTCCGGCTGTTCGCAGACGACTGCCTCTTATACCGACAAATCAACAACTATGGAGATCAGAAAAAACTACAGGAAGACCTTCACAACTTGCAAAAGTGGGCCAATGACTGGGGTATGTGTTTCAACGCCAAAAAATGCTACATCATGAGCATACGCCAAAAAACCAGCAAATTTTATACACTGGACAATCATGTGCTGGAAGAGGTTGAAAATAACCCCTATCTTGGACTCCAAATTTCGTCAGACTTAAAGTGGTCAACTCACATCAACAAGATCACTAAAAAAGCTCATTCAACATTAGGATTTCTCCGACGAAATTTATCACACTGTACCGAGAACTGCAGGAAAACAGCCTACGTTTCCATGGTGCGATCAACACTTGAATATGGATCAATAGTCTGGGACCCATTTCAGAAACGGGACATAGATAAGCTCGAACGTGTCCAACATAAAGCCATCCGTTTCATAAAACGAGACTACCACAACAGGGAAGAGGGCTTCATCACCACCAAGGCCAAGGAACTGGACTTACAACCGCTCCAGCATAGAAGGACCAGCTTGCGACTCATTATGCTCTATAAGGTGGTTGAGGGGTTGGTGCCAGGGCTACCAACTCACAATTTCATTCAAAAAGCTAAGCCTAGACGCCAAATCAAATTAAAAACATTCGATAATTGTGAAAATACAAACATTCTTTCATCTCAAGTCAAAAATAACAGCAAGTGTCTCGAAACAACATCTACGAAAACTAACCAATACTGCTCATCATTCTTTGTGGACACAGTCATCAAATGGAACCAACTGGAGGACAATATAGTTTGCGCTAAGTCCGTCGAGGCCTTCAAGACCGCCCTCGACAGCTTGTGTCAATAAGTTCGACACGCGCTCTCTCACCGTCGCAGAAAAGCCAGTATTGGTCACTTCGACGCATATATACACAGATACAGATACATGTTTATGATGTATACTCGATTCTCATTATATCGCGGTATATCGCAAAAAATTTGATACATAGCTTATATTCTTTTTGTTGATTGACAATCTGTATGTTACATCTGAATGTTTTTAATTTTTTTGATGATTGAGAAGTATGGAACATCTGTTGGAAAAAGAAATATTCAAATAGACGTAATTTTACAGATTTCCACTCCCGTTTTTATTATATTTAGACCATCAAATTCAAAACCTAGTAAAAAATATAAGAAAGTTCAGCCTTTAAAAGTCTTGAATTTGTACAATTGTTTATTTTTTCATGTAGAATTACAATCTAAATTCAAAAATAAAAATTGAGGTCCATGTCATCTACAAGTTTCCATGTTTCCATGCCGAGATACAATGGGACTCTCCAATTTAGAAGATAAATAAGAGTGCCAGTTTTAAAAATAGACCTCGAATTAAATGACGCAAGATTGGAAAATAATTTTGCACTAAAAAGTTAGGCCATGGTTAGAATTATAAATATCATTTAATAAAAGTTAGATTAAAAAATTTGAAATTACACTTTTTATGCAAAAGAATTAAGTACCGCGATATAATGAGACACCAGTATACATGTTTTACTTTAATCATTGATGATATGTACAGGTTGGCACAGTTCCTTTTTCGGGGAAGTATTACTAATAAAAGGGAATTATTCCTCTTTTCAGGGAGGTTGGTTTGATAAAGTTTTAACACATCACATCATATTTTTCATGCACTCTTCATTTTAATAAATGGATTTGAGGCATTATTTAAAAAATATCCTGAAATTTCCTGTATTCAGTAATGTTTTCATTACGAAATTTAAAAAAGGAATCATCCCGCAGCACTTTTAGTAAATATACTTCCCCCAAAAAAGAACTGTGCCCAACCTGATGTACCTGTCATACACTATTTAAGGAAATTCATATTTTTTTTTCAATGTTTGGTTTTTAACTGTCAGCTAGGACATAACCAATATAATTTGTTTCCTTTTCCTAGATTAAATTATAAATCCAAATTCAATAAAACAAAATAAACTGGACACTTACAACCAGACTGTCCTGACAATACATTAATGTTTAGCCCCGCATCAATGTTTAAACAAATGAATCAATGAATTTAGATTTTATTATTTTTCAATCAAATTTTACTTTAAAATCACATTTTGATTTATTTTTAGCCAGCAAAAGTTGAAGTGAAAGATGTGGAGTTTAATCCTGCTTTCATAACAAGAATGTTACCAAAAGTAGACTGGGTAGCACTCCAGAAAGCTGCTAAAGAGGTCAGAGGTCAAAACAAATACAGAAAATATATCGGAGAGGCAGACATTATATATATCTGATATCATATATTTATTTCAGTATGAATCCCTACTTTCTAGTTAGAGAAATAATTAACATGTTAGCCATAGAACAGTCAGATTAAAATTTTGATTGATCAGATCTTGATAGAATCCTTTGTCTATAATGATGTTATATAGCTTATATCTACATGTATTTCCAAACAAAAAAGCATAGCCTCAAATGTACTAAAATGATACTGGTACTAAATTTTAAAATGGAAATTAAAAAAAATTCATATTATGGATGTAAGGTCTACTGTTTTTATAATAATCTGTACTTTTATAGTGTGGATATGGAGAAGGATTACCAGATGCTATCAAAGATGAATTGATGGAAGACACAGACTTTCTGAAAAAAGTCCACAATGCCTTGATGGAGGTTAGTAACAAACCAGAAGTGTCTTTTTAATAGAAATCTATAACTTAATTACTTTTTTCATTGAAATTTTTTGCCAGTAATCTAAACTAGCAGTATTTAACATATATATATAAAAGAAGATATTACAATAAAGATTTTTTAGTAAACAGCTGTGATTTTTTTTTGTTCCAGGTTGAGGTGATAGAAGGTAAGCTGGTCTGTCCAGAATCTGGCCGGGAATTCCCCATCAATAATGGCGTCCCTAACATGTTACTAAATGAAGACGAAGTGTGAAAAATCAAGACAAAAACTGGACTGTCATGAATGATTGTGTGGATAACTTGAGTGAAAGTGTGATTAAGACTTGAAGAATTTTTTACGAATTCAGGATGCTTGTGACTTGTGTTGTTATAAATGTTGTTAATTTGTAGATATTGTTGAGTGCAATGTGAAATTGTTTGGTCAGACAGATTTTTGAATTTTTAAGTTCTGTCTAAAACAACAAAAGTGAGAATATACAAGAAACAGAAATTTCATAAAGTTCATGTACTTGTTTTATCATATACAAATGTGTTCGTTTTTATGTGATTCCTTTTAATTATTAAATCCAAATTAATAAAGAAACATCTTGCAGAATGCTAAATGTTTTGTCAGTTTACAAACTGCTGCGATTCTTCAAATCAAAGGTATGACCAATCTCCAAAAATGGAAAATAATTTACAATCCTCAAGTGAATGTCATAATTGCAGCTCAGGAATGACCATTGTTACCTGAAAGCCTGCTTTGATTTATAAGATATAGAACAACACATTTTCAACAGGGGAATATTTGAGTAACCATAGGAAATTTACAGAATGTCATTACTTGATGTACCAGTATTTTCTTTATTTATACTAAAGAGAAATTTTTATGGTCATGAACCAGTACATTTGTATTTTCAACATGCTATTTCATACAAGCAGTACAGAACATCCCGATGTTTTCCAGGCCTTTTCAAGATTTTGATAAATTTACGTGCCAAGAAAATGTCAGAACTGCCAACGGTTTATTTCCCTTAATATCCCCCCTTGTCTTAGAATTACATCCCTTTTTCAGTATAAATGAAAGCTTGTTACCAAAGTTAGTCAGTGATATTTGATAAAAATTAGCAAAGGGCTTTGGTATTGATTTCTAGCCCATATTCTAAAAAGTTGATGCCTTATTTAACCTCAGATGAGCTATGCTGTATAGTGTATGTCTTCTTGGTCAAATTATAATTGATATGAAGATTCGTTATAAATCTTTTTTTTGTTTTCATCAAATTTAAAGTTTTTGTTAATGCATGTCATAACCAAAATCAGCATATCAAAAAATTGAGAGATGATGAATTTTATGTTTTTATTAGTTTTTTCATAGAAAGTGTAAATAATGCATTACAATAGAGATACAACATTCAAGAAATTAATGAATTGCACAAAAAATCAAGGTTATCACCTGAACATTACAATTGGAAACAGCTACATTTACAAAATTTAACATGGGAGACTAGGCATGCTGAATAAATTAAGTGGAGAATGTAGTTGTTCAGTTCAAGATTTTTTTTTAAATGATAAAATTGATGTACAGGTAAACAAACTGCTCATTTAAGGAGAGAAAAATCTAATCTCAAAAGTTACAAGGAATACCTTGAAATCCAACAATTTCTCAATGTATATACAAGTACATGAAAAATGTATAGACTTTTTAGATACTTCTAATGCCTATATAAACTATATATTAAAATGTTTTCAATATACAAACTAGTTAAAAAATTTTTTTAAACAATTAAAAGTTTTATAACACACTCCCTTCAGTTTTGCATAAAATGATACATGCATGTCAGATTGATCTTCAAATCCAGTGCTCCTAATGATTACCATTCAATCACATTTCCAGTTGTTTAGCTTCCTGTATGTTGTTTGGCCTGCCACCTTAAACAGTAATCAGCCTCCTAGAGTCCTGAAGGTACATAGGTCCGTGAACCAGGTCGGGATTGGGTCCCATGGCTACCACTCTGCTCCCTAACCGCCCGGGATCAGGGCCGTGTCTTAGATCTGGGTTAGGACCCACAGCTGCTACATAGTTTTGTCTGCCAATAAAAGTGGTGTAAAATTATCAGTAAAGAGTCAGGTTTCATTTGACCATCTATCAACAAAGAAGGGTTCAGTTATTATCATATCTTCATATGGGCCGTTGGTTTTGTACAAGTATGCCTTTTTGTGGTTTTCAGTGGGACAGTGAAGACAGAACTGGCCTATTCATCGACCGTTTATAATATTTCAATTTGGAAGGAAAAAAACAAAACAACAAGAAATCTGTGAGCCAATGCTCACTAGTAATATCCCCGCTCTGATGTAAATAAACACTATCATGTTAATATACACAAGTTCAATTACAGGCAGATGCACAGAAAAATATGAAGTTGACATCAGATTCATATCAAAATTAATCCCACCACAGGGCATGCTTCAACAAAGAGTGTACTAAAATTTCAAGCATCTGCTAATGGTTAATGAGAAAACTGTGACGAAAAGTTGTTATGTATGAAACAGACGGATGCACAGACAAACAGGAAGTCAACATCAGATTTGACCAAAAATGTATCCCACCGTATGGCATGACTTAGGGAAGATTGTCTTAAAATTCCAAGCATCTGCGATGAGTAGTTGCTGAGAAAATTGCAATGAAGATTTGTTATATATGAAATGGACAGATGCACAGACAAACAGGAAGTTGACAAGAGATTTTAACAAAAATGTATCCCACCATATGGCATGCCTCAGAAAAGATTGTGTTAAAATTTCAAGCATCTGCAATGAGTAGTTGCTGAGAAAACTGCGATAAGAATTTACTTTGTATGAAATGGACAGACGCACAGACAAACAGAAAGTTGACATCGTATTTGAACAAAACTAGAACTGTCCAAACGGGACAAAATACCCCCTGCTGGGTTTTTCAGAAGTAAGTTTTTCCATAATAAAGCTATGTATCAAACATGAATTATGAAATTTTTCTTCCAGTGACCTTGAACTCCCCAAAATGACCTTGGGTCAAGGTCATGACACACCCTTGGGTCATAGGCAATCTTTGTGTGAAATGAGAACCTACCAAGTTTATCAATAAGAAAGATATGGACCGGACACAAATTATGAAAGTGAGATTGAACTTCCCCAAATGACCTTGGGTCAAGGTCATGACACACCCTTAGGTCATGGGCAATCTTTGTGTGAAATGAGAACCTACCAAGTTTATTCATAAGAAAGATATGGACCAAACACGAATAATGAAATTTTTCTTCCAGTGACCTTGAACTTCCCCAAATGACCTTGGGTAGGTCATGATGACACACCCTTGGGTTATAGGCAATCTTTGTGTGAAATGAGAACCTACCAAGTTTATCAATAAGAAAGATATGGACCGGACACGAATTATGAAATTTTTCTTCCAGTGAGATTGAACTTCTCCAAATGACCTTGGGTCAAGGTCATGACACACCCTTAGGTCATGGGCAATCTTTTGTGGAGTAGTAGATTCTAATGTCCCACTGTAGGAAAGATATAGACTGGACACGATTGCACAGACAGACGGACAGACAGACAGACAAGGTGATTCCTATATACCCCCCCAAACTTTGTTTGCAGGGGGTATAAATATATATTAATGTATGGCATGCCTCAGACAAAATTGTATTGAAATTGAAAGCATCTGCGATGAGTAGTTGCTGAGAAAACTGCGACGAGAATTTGTAATGTATTAAACAGACACACACACAAACAGGAAGTTGACATCAGATTTAAACAAAAATGTATCCCATCGTATGGCATGCCTCAGAGAAGATTGTGTTAAAATTTCAAGCATCTACGATGAGTAGTTGCTGAGAAAACTATGACGAAAATTTGTTATGGACAGACACACAGACAGACACATAAGAGTAAAACAGTGTACCCCCCTCTCCTTCAGAGCGGGGTATAAAAATTGGAGGAGGGGTGGATGGGAACAGAATGACAGATTAGCAAAATGATGGAAAGAGTAATTACAGCCTACAGAGCAACTGCAAATTGTTGTGGAATCCTATTAATTCTAGCATTGTTCCAAAGAAATGATCATTTATACATGTCTTACATGAGAAGTGAATCATCTGGACCTTTCCTTAGATCTGGATTAGGACCAATGGCAGCTGTTTTATACTCAGATACAGTGTGTGGTTGTCTGGCTACTGAAGATCCCTTGTGTGTGCTCCTGAAACAACATCACTTGATAATAAACACAGTATAAAGTGCTCTCAATGGTAATGAATGTACATTTAGTTACTGGGCAATTATTTTTTTCCTAAAGCAATTGATTTTCAAATGTCAAAAGACAAGATTTGCCTTAAGCTCTTGCTTGATAGGAAAAAACAGATCTTAATTATTCCCAAGATTTCTTTACATGAATGCTAGTAATACTTTCACTGACTTTCATTGTATGATATTAAAAAAAGAAAGATTTCTCAATATTTGTAAAATTGTAAACTTAAATTTCTTGATAATACTAAAAAACCTTTACTTTTTTGCATGTTTAGTTCTTTGATGCTGTGTCCTTGATGATGAAGGTCGCTGATCTGGTGTCCTTGACCTGTCCTGATGTGATTTTGCAGTTTTCTTGGGAGAACTTTTTTTCTTTGGTGAAGTTATGGAGCTTCATTTACAAAATATTTTTTTTTTTAAAGAATAGAGAATTTGCATTAAAAATCATTCTTCATAATATTATTGTACAAATCTGTATAGGGATATCAAGATTAAAAAAAAATTCCTTTGCTGAACAAGCAGCTCTACCTGTCTGGATCAGCCTCCAGTGTGACTGGTAACCCAGCATCCATATCAAAAGCAGCAGGCTCTGAAGTGGCTGGTCTACTGAAACTGGATTCACTGAACCCTAAAATAAGGACAATATTTACAACTAATACGTTTAACTTTTATTTTCATGTACCAGGTACATACATGCTTTCAAAATGTTTTGATGTTTCTGTTCAATAATTATATACCGCTAATCTTACCTGAGTCTGATGTTTTAGATCTGTCACCTCTAGAATAAAAAAAAGATGTTTTTATAAGAGACAAAAATTTGTATTAAGTTGAGCTAGGTACTAAGCAATTTGGTTTTTTTTCTTCAAATTTGTAGGGAGGCTTTGTGCACTGGCATGCAATTTTGCTGAGAAAAATGACATGGCTGTAAAATTCATTTGAATTATATATGTATATGAACGAAAGAAACCAAAATAAAAATTTAGTTAAGGTTTGCTTATATATGTAAACATTGTAGGTAAATCTAGAGAGTTCAAGATACTGACATTTCTGGCTTCTTCCTATCATTCCAGCCTTTCAGTAAAGTGCGACATTTTCCTTCATTGTAGTGACAGATATCTAATGCCATCTCAATCACATTAGCTTCAAGATGCGAAAATGCCCCAGCCATGCGCTGTTTAACTGAAATATTTAGAATACATGTACAATGTAGTTCATGCAAAAATTGTGAAGAAAAAGATGTATGTATTTCAGCTAGACAATTTTCTTTTGTAAATTGGTACACACTTTTCTTCTTCTGATCTTCAGATATCGTCTCTTTTGGAGGCGAGGATTCTTTCGCTGGGGACTTGTGACCTGTCTGACCTGTCCGTTTAGCTGAGGATTGCCTGGAGTGACTGGCAGATGTAGCGCCCCCTGTTGTTTTCAGCTTGTAACCCATGGATTCCAATGTTTCTTTTGCCTTCGAGTGGTTGTTGTTAACACTGCAGAGAATAAATAGACTTTTTTCTTTAAAATAGCTCTTTTGAGTGTACATGTAAACTAGAAGAGTTTGATTATCTATTGGTCAGATGTGTGTTGATAGGTATCTCCCTATCTGTAAATACTGTATCAAAAGACTTTAATCCTAACACCTACATTAATCAATTCTGGTACACAAGTACACTTCACCAAGATACATCACATTTTTCATAAGTCCACGTTTTTCATAAGTCAAGATTGTGTCAACTTTTTTAAATAAAATACCGGTAAGTTGAAAACAAACAACTTTTCTATTCTGTTCGTAAAATTACAAACTAATCAGGTTACAGTTTCATGGAAAATTACCACATTTTGCTGAATTTCCCCCTGAAAATACACATGTATATACATAATGCCATCATATACATATATAAAATAAATAAGCAAGATGTCCCTTTTCATCCCTTTACACATCACCTCATCATACCTGACGAGGATATCTTTAACCATGTCATAGGTGGCCCCTGGGTGGCTCTTCATGAGGGCATTGATTGAAGCATCCAACTTGTCATTATTTGTGTCTGGTGGTGGGTGCTTAGTCTGGGATAGAGAAAATAAGAGAATTTCATACGATGATTAAAATAAATCTACACATGATCATTTTCAAGTTGTATCCTTTATGGACTTTACAGACATTTGCTCAATGAAAAGAACATTTTACCCAATTTAATATAAACCATAGGTGATGATAAAGCTAGATAAAACATTGATAAAGCAAATTACAGGAAAGGATGTTGTGAGTTCTCTCCCTTTGTCTCTATGTTCATCCCTGTTATAAGTGTTAAGCGGGATTTCTCTTGTTGCAGGACTTTTCACAGATGCTTGGTTCAAAAGCTATATGTATTTTACAGGTATAATAGAAAGAATAGAATGTTTATAGTGAGTGTACTCCTACTTCTACTTACAGTAAAACACACCTATAACTGCAAGGGACAGATGAATTTGCTTTGTTATAACCATAATATGTTATACATGTTAGCTTCTCAATATATTTAAAACACACTGGGAATGAAAATCAATTCACTGTAAATATAATTTTTTATAAGCAAATTTGCTATAAGCGTATTTTACTGTATTTCATATTCTGAAAAGGCTATAGGTTCAAAGTTAAGCTACCACAGGCAATACAACAAGATATACATACAATGATTTAATGCACACAATAAATTATAATTTATTATCATGACCTAAGGGATGTTAAGCAAGTAAAATGTAAGAGACATTGACAAAAAGATGTTCCAGAACCAAAATGAAAGTTTAAACACATACACAAAATCTGTTAAATTTTTAATTTGACACAAAGAGCAAGGTTCATTTCATGCATTAGGTGGTCAATTAGTGATATTATAGTATACTAATATAATATATACTGAATTCAGATAATGAGGACTGGGACGAAAATACTTTTTCTTTATTGAAACGTACAATCATGATATTTTAGCCACGATATATGTACCATGAAAATCTTCTTTTATTAAAATGAACAAGACATTTCATAACAAATAAGATTTATGATTTATTCAAATACATGTACATGTAAGTAATAGTTGTATATCTGTTTGTAAAACAAAATTATTTAACACAAGACTAGTGGTGTACTTCTTATTTATCATATTCAATTTATATATTAAACCCAAAGTGTTATGCTAACAAAGAAATTTTTTGTGATATTTCAATATTTCTTCATATTAATTGATTTGTGTATCATCCTCACACTGAATCAAGACCTTGATATAATTCCATTATTTGTGAAAGGTGTCACTGTTCATTTCTATTTGATGTTTAACTTTTGCCAGCTGTTTAAAGTCAGCTTTGATTTTTAACTTGAAGAATTTTATAGGACCAATTAAAGCCTTTAGTGAACTTTGCTCTTTACATCAACAATGTACAGTCAAGCCCCTATATCTCAAATTTAATGGGTCCAAGAATTTTTTTAGAGATGATTGAAGATAATAAATTTGAAATACTAAGGTTCAACTGTACTTTATATCATGCTTTGGTGAAAAAAGTGTGTATTCTAAATTATAATTATTTAATCATTAAATTGACTAAAACAGAAGAACAAATAATAGCTACTGTAATAAAAAAAAACAACAACACAAAATTCAGTTATAAATCTCTCACAGACAGAGAAAAAGACTAAGAACTGAGTAAAATGAAATTAAGACTTGTTTTAAATCAAACATATAAGACCATAAAAGTACATCTATCAAGAGAAACAAAAATGGAGAAAGCTCTATACAGACAATACAAAATGAAAACAAATTTTCTCCAATTAATCATTGATTGACTGAATATCAATCATTGATTGATTGAATTATACCTGGGCTGCGGCAGCATGCTGTCCACCATATTGAGGTTGCTGGGGCTGATTAGCTTGCTATCAAGTATATAAAAATTTAATAGCATCAATTGACAATTTTATTGATCATCATTATAATAGAATCAGGGACCTATATAATTAGTATATAGGTCCGTGTCGATGATAGAATTAACCTGATAGTTTTTACAAATGAATCCAGTATTCTCAGCACTGCTTCAATTTAACAGTTAATATTATATAAGAGATATTTTTTAAATACTTCTGAATATCAATAATGAAAAATATTTCTTTAAAAATGAAATATGCACTGATACAGATACATACTAATTTAATTCTTGGATCAATCCATGTAGTCTGTTTAGTGTTGTGGTCAATGAAAAAACTGGAAAAAAAAATCCAAAATTGTGAATATTAAAGATACTAACAGCTGACTAAGAGAAAGATAGAGCATTACAGATGGGTGCGTCAATTTACCCAAATGGATACAAATGGACCCAAATGGAACCCAAATGGAAACTCAAATGGACCAAAATGGAAATCAAATGGACCCAAATGGAATATAAAATAAATATATTATATCATATTCTCAAGTTTTTACTTATTTAAAATATAGAAAATAATATGAAATTAACCATGTTAACATAAAGAAAATATTTTAATATCATCATTTTCTTAAACTTGTGTTTTCAAAAATGCGATTTAATTCTATTTGTAATAACTATTGAACATAATTGAATACAAAACCGAAGTATTTGATAGATTCTAAGGCCATAGGAACGGAAGGGGGTGGGGGGGGGGGGGAGAGAGAGATACCATGTGTGGTAGAATACTATCAAAACTTCATGTCTCAAGTATATTTTTTGGTAAATACAATATTAGAGATTAATGATAAATATAAAACTCCAGTTGTAACTGTAAGTTCATTTATTTTCATCATTTTACAAAAGTAATAAAATATACAATACATATTTAATATATTTCCATTTGGGTCATTTGATTTCCATTTGGGTCCATTTGTGTTCCATTTGGGTCCATTTGTTTCCATTTGGGTTCCATTTGGGTAAATCGAGCGTTACAGATTAATCAAGAGCTGAGCAATATTTTCAAATACGTTTCCATCAACCCTACTCAAACGATTAAGTAAAAGTCCTTTCTAATTAAAATCTGCCTAATAGAATAATAGATCTACGCATAATTTAGAAAATAGGTAAATTATTTCGAATTTTCTCTGCATACCAATATCAGAGTGATCTTCAATTGTTACAAAGTAAATAATTTTCAACTTACTAAGCGCCCTGGTTAGCATCCCATCGAGCCTCCCATCCTGGAGGCAAGGGTGGCCCGCCCTGCATTTTATGATGCTATGTAGCTTCTTGCGAAAGGCTTCCTTCAAAATACAGTTGAACAATGTTTATTTACAAATATCCGGAAGTAAATGAGATAAGGTCAAGGACACTTGGCGAGTTCTGGCCCCTTGCTGGTTAAGGGGAGTCGCGGCACAAAATTAATACAGTAAAATCAACCAAAGGGATTTTATTTATTCATTTATTTATTTTCTAGTATTTATTCAATATTTATTTATTTATTAAATAAAAAATGCCACATTTATTTGAGAGTTTCTCCACTAAAAAACTGTAAAAAAAAAAAAAAAAAATGATCTGGAAAATTGCATATCACATGTAAAAACTGTGAAAAAAAAAATGATCTGGAAAATTGCATATAATGCGAGATTTTGGTATTAAAAGGGGATTAAAAATATCTCAATTCTTCTATGAGATGAAAAAAAAATCCATAAAACTCAAGGAAAATATTTGCAAAAAAGCCCCCCCCCCTCTCTCTCAATGAAATTACAAGTAGAAGAAAAAAAGTAAAAGTTCTTCCTTATCACCGTTAATTTTTCCTTTTTTTTTTTTTTGAAAAATGAATAATACTTTTTTTTTAAACATTAAAACATGTACTTTAAAAAATTTCATGACACTGTCATAAATTAAAAAAAAAAATAAATAAATAAAAACTTGTATTGGTCGAAAAATGTTAATTTTCCTTTATATGACCTAGATTTGCCCCGTTGGATTAAAAAGAACCCATCGGTCATCCATAAAATGGATTGCAGAATATATGACAATACATGTTTTTGGGAATATTAATTAATATATTAATATCGTAATGATTCGTGGCTTGTGAGGATCTAGAGACTGCCGTTTGAACTCTAGAAAGCTTCAGATCACATGACCCTCCAAGTATATATATAAAAAAATATTCTTGATGCGCGGTAACATGTCCAGAAAAATGATGGATGTGGATAGTGGGATGTTTCGAAGCTGTCAGTGAAAAGAATAATTAATGTGTCTTGGTAATCTTGCTACAATTGAATATGCAGTACTTATCAGTAAGCGTGCAAACGAGCTTGCATATCTAGAATTACTGTACAAAAACATT